TATATGATAAAAAAATGGTACGATCACAGAGCACTCCGACCTGTATCTCCTTGAGTCCACTAGTATTAGTCTTTCTTCTTGTTCAATTCTACTGATTACGCCCATTGCGATCACCTAAAACGCTTCAAGCGTGGGTTTCTATTCACCTGATTATTGTATTGTAAGTTGTTTTGGATTTTTCTGTCTGTTTTTTATTTTTATTAGAGCCTTCCACAACGTTGTATTTTCCGGTTTTTCTGATGGTTAATACTTGGAAGACTTATCTCAATTGTGCCTTGAGAGCTTTGTTATTTCATTATTGTCCCTCTAGAAAATTAGCTTGCACAACTTAAGCGTTCAAGAAGAGTTCAAGATTCTCAAGATTGTCAGTATCAGTAAATACTTTTTAAACTTAGGTTTGAAGTGCATCTACATAGTGTATATCGGAATTTAAGATTTGAATATTGATATATACTAGTAGTTGACTTAAACTTGACTTGACAAAGTTTTGGATTTATGTATTATTTTAGCAATTTGTAAAGATTTGCTTGTCTAGCTCTGCATTTTTTCCGGAAAAGTTACTTATATCGAACTTATAAATATTTTAATTAATTTTAAATATTAATTATTATTTTATTTATTAGCTTAGAACAAATTTTAAATTGTATTAATTTTTTTTTTTTTTTTTTGCCAACATTGAAAATATTTTTGATGTTATCGCTCACTCAAAGCGTTGAGAATTTGAATTGTTAATCTAAAAAATCAACAGATCATAATACATATTTATTTTATTGTTATTTCTGTTGTTTATTTCTATGTTAATTTGTTTATTTATAACAAAAATAGATGCGATGAAAATTTTTCAAAATAGTCTAAAGATATAACAAAGACGATAATGGTGACTGGTATGCACATATACTTATGTTACAATATAGGTGAGATAAGGTGAATGAGATAACTCTGAGCGCCTCGAGATTCATGTCAACATGGAAATAAGGAACTTATTCAAATTATCTAAAAAATTTATGACGCACAGTCTTTAAATGCAGCCAAATGGCAAATAAAACAAAGAGAAGAAATATATTTTGAAATCTTTTCTTAACCCATCTATTCTCACTAAACAATATTTAGCTATTTGATTATTTTAATTGCTGAAAGTTAATATTTCTCATGAGTACCTTTGGCCTTGAGTTCTCAAGGTCTATTGAATAACAAATCGTGGGAATCAGGTACATTTCCTTTTTTAACATAAAAAGAACTAATTCAAAATCAGAATTCATACAAATGTTTTCTTCGGTTAAAATATCTAAGACACCCTGAACTAATTGGTTTATATGCCAAAATTGCAACTCACAAAAAAAAAAAAAGCAATAATTAAAATTATAAGTAACTGGTTAAAGTGCTAAATTACTTTCGTCGAGCTCAGTTGGTTAAAGTGCCAAATTAGCAAATCTGTATCAGACTAGCTACAAATCATAACAATAACTATAACAAAAATAGATATCAGCATTATATAAACTTATCACTTGTTGTTCTTCAACTTAGTATCAGCAGACGGCTCTTCACAGGACAACGTAAACTGAAATACTGTCTTACGAAACTGGGCATATATAGGTCACATTCTTTTACAAACCGAACAGATTTTGGCAAAAAATGACCTCATGATTTCCGATTAGGCTGAAATTTTTTTTGTGAGCTCAGGAAAAAATTTTGTAAATTTTTTTTTGTGAATTTTTGCCTAGGAGATATGTACTCATGGGGTTTTGAGAATTGACATTGTACACACATTTTCAAATGACTATATCTCAAGGTCTATTAATGGTAGAAACTTCAAGTTGACTGCATTTTAAAGATAATTGTTTGAACTTTTAGAAAGTTGTTTATATTTAAGTAATTATATTAAACGTTAAATTTCAAAAAAAAAATTTTCTCAAAACATGTAGCCAAAATTTTCATGTTTTATATATTATTTAGATTTGTTTTTAAATTTTACTACGAAATAAAAATTTTCAAGATACCACCTTTTTTTGAAATTTTTTAATATTTTTTTTCTCCCGCAAAACACATCAAGCACACGCGGACCATATCTCAATTAAATGAATTTTCAAAGAATATACTACAAATATAATATTTTTGATTTCGATTAGTAATACTATTCTACATAAAACTCAAAAATTTCAGAACGATATTGTCCTTAAAAGTATTTTAAAAAATTGATTTATCCTTCACGTCACACCAAACACATACACACGATCATTCAGTAAAAAAAAGAGGAATATGTCACACAAATTTTTTCTTATTTACTTTTTATTTAGATTAATACATAAAATCTACTTAAAAAATAAATATTTCCAGTGTGATATTGCTTTTTGAAGTAATTTAGAAAAATTAATTTATCAGGCGTCCCTCACGTTACTCATACGCACCATAATACCATTAAATCAATTTTCCAAAAAAATGAACACAAAAACGTTTATTTTTTATTTCTGAATTGAGTTCGTCATTAAATTTTACATGAAATATTAACATTTGAAATTATTTCTATTTTTAAGTAACGAATTTTAAAATAATTAAAACGTTTTATGAACTTTTTTCTTACATTGATGAATCAAAAAATTAATTCGTTCCACACTAGCTGAACTACCCATCTAACTGCCGCACATAACTACACCTATTTTCCCTGAAGAAGTGTTATTCTGCTATAGTTGGAAAAACACTCTGCACAGATCAGAAATGTTATAGGAAATAAACTATAAGGAGCTAAAAATAAAATTATTTTTTATAATTTTTACATTGATTTAATTAATACTCATTTCATTATTTATACATAAGCTGTAATGTCTGAAGAACAAAATATTTTTCCCATTTATTTTATTTTTATTTAATTTTGTTTTATTTGATTTGTTTTATTTTGTCTTATTTAATTTTCTTTTATTTGAATTATTTTTTACTTTTCTATATTATTTTAATTTAATTTATTTTATGTAACTATATTTTACTTATTAAAATTATTTTATTTCATTAATAAAATTATATTTTATTTTAATCATATTATTATAATTTAATTTATTTCTCTTTGTATTTTATATTACTTTATTTTTATTTATTTCAATCATTTTATTTTGTATTATTTTATTCTGTCTTATTTCAGTTAGTTTTATTTTATATTATTACGTTTTATTTAAAATATTTTATTTCATAATGTATGTATATATTATATATATAGTTTACTTTATTTTATTTTACTTAAATTATTTTATATCATTTATAAAATTTTAATTTAATTTTATTTATTTTATATTAATTTAATCCATTGCATTATCTATTAATTTTATTCATTTCGTTTAATTTTTATTATTATTTATTTTATTTACTATTTATTAATTTTTTAAATTTATGTATAAAGAAGTTTTCAAAAAGTAGAGAACTACAACAACAAAAATTTATTTTTTATTATTTTTATTAATTGAATTTTTGTCTGACCACCCATGCATCCAGTGTTGTCAAATACCCATCATCAGTAGTCTTGGAATTATATATTGTATTTAATTATTCCAAATAATTTTCTTAAGCCTGCAAATACCAGGAATCAAACTCGTGTACTTCCAAATTTGAAGGTCGGAGTCAACGCATCTTAACCAACTGATCCAAAGCCGTACCTGAAGTACTTAATTTATTTATTTATTTAATTTTATTTAATTTTTTTTTTTATATTTTATATCGTTTTCTGTCTTATAATATTTTATTAAAGTTCTTTTATTCAAAATTATTAAATAACATTTTAAATTATTTTATTTTATTCAGTACATAAGAGTTTACTGTATTTAATTTAATTTAATTTTATTTTATTTTGTTTTCTGGTTTAATTTATTTTACTAAATTATTTTATTTAATACATAAAAGTTTACTTTATTTAATTTTATTTTTTTTTTATATCATACTATTTTTTGTTTATTTTTTATTTTTATTTTATTTTATTTTATTAAATTATATGATTTTATTTTGTTTTGTGTTATTTTATTTATTTTAATTTATGTTTTATTTTAATTAACTCTATTTTACTGCTTCTTTCTTTTCTATTTTGTATATTTTTATATAATATTATATATATTATTATAATTGTTATATAAATAGCAGTGGAGATAGCAGCAAAACATAAATCTTTGTTTTATTATAAAATATTTTTTAATTATAGTTTTTAAGATTGAAAAGAGGAAAGTAAAGCCCCTGTAACAACGCCAATTTTTTTTTTACAACAAAAATTCATTTTATATTATTTTATTTAATTGAATATTTGGCTGACCATACAGCTGTTTCGAGTATTGCCAAATATTCATCAGCAGTGGTCTTGGAAATAATTCTTGTCTTTAATTATACGTAAATAATTATTTTTGAGACTGCAAGTACCAGGAATCGAACTCGGGTCCTGCCAAATGTGAAGCTCAGAATCAGCGCCCCTTAACTAACTGACCCAAAGCTAGTCAGTTGGTTAATTGATTTAGTAAATAATTTTTTTATTTTTAATTTATATATGCAATTCAATGTTTATATAGTTTAATTTAATTGTGTTATTGAGTAAAACACGTTGACTGAAAGTTGACCTATTTAGTGGACTTACATCAGAAACTCACTATGGGCTGACATTTCGGAAAAGAAAATTTTATTAGCAAATTTATTGGTAACTGAACTTTTTATGTTTGCCGTATTTTGATCACATCACAATGATAGACTAATAGACCGATAAGTAAAGTAGCAATAATGGCAATGACGACAAAGCATGCAAAATAATTGCCAACGAACTTTACACGAAACGTCAAATTTGTAGGCAATCCATCAGATACATTTTGTTACCTTGTCGTAATAAAAATTACGTGCATACGAGTTTTTTATGAATGAAACTTGTTTTTTTTTAAATTTTATTTTTTATTTTACGTAAGTTAAATTATAGAACAAATTAATGTTAATTAAATTGTTTTCTACATTATTAAATTATGCGCATTTTTTCTGTTTCTTTATTTCAGAAATGAAAATTCTGAAACCTTAACATATGAAATTCAAATCAAGTAACGGAAGAATAGTAATTTGAATTGCTAAATAAAGATTTGCAATACGAAAACGAAAGCAGAATCAATTGAACCCAAACTAAGTTATAAAATGGAGGCTACAAAACCACAAATAACCGAAGTATCCTCAGCTTCAGTCGTTTATATTGAAAAGCCTCAACCAAATAAACAATTCATGATCTCGAAAACTGATGGATGTGAACTGAAAAGTATAGATTTTGAAACAATAATCACAGAACCAAATGCGCCCCGAAAAATGGGCCTCTCACGCAGTCAGGATGATGATGAAAATAGTAAACATAAATCGCACGCTTACGAATTTGGCAGCATCTCACCAACGCCACAAAGTCAGGCAAGCGTTAGTTTGGTTGGTGCTAATCGGGCTATACAATTTCGTAAGAGTCACACTTGCGGTAGCCTTTTTGCTAAGTGTAAATGCAGCGGTAATGATTTTGCTCCGTCGTCACCAATGTACACAACCGCCTTTTCGTTGAGCACACAACAGCCACCGAACTACACAGTTGTGGAACAGAACAACGCTGTTATCAATGCTTTGTGCTCGCATGGAGATACAACAACAACACCTCCAAGCAGCACTCGTTTCAGTACCGCGTGTACACACACCACTCAAGCAAAATTGCAAAGTACATTGAGGCTCTCACGCAACGAGAGCGGCAACGTTACACTCGATTTTAGTAGCGCCAGTAGTGTCGCAAGTACTAACGTTACTGCTTCTCCACACAAAAATATTAGCAAAGAAACTAGTCAAATAGTAGCTAAGCAAGCGAAAACAACAGCGAGCGGCACCGAAAAAGAAACAAAGTTATCGGAAATTTCTCCACTAGCACCGCTCATCTCACTAGTCGCAAATAGCACGTCAACTGCAAGTAACACGCAAACACCCAAAGTTACTCCTACGTCGCGTAAAAGTGAACGCAAACCGTTATTTCAGTCGTATTCGCATCCTGACACAGACTTTATATTTACGGAGGCAAACAAGAAACCCTCGAAAGAATCTCTACATGGACACGGTGACGCGGTTATTAAAACGCGCGGCGGTAAAGTTGAAATTAAACATCAAAAACGTTCCTCATCCCCAAATATAGGACAGTACCAGATTTTAGATGTTGCCGTACATCCTGATATTCTAGTTAAAATTTCCCCAAAACATTCACCCGTTCAATCGGTCGATGATCGCCGAAAGAAATCACCATTTAGCGCACGTACCACACAACAGCGTCGTCAGCTATTAACACGTTCCCATGAAATTGAATCTGGTGGCTCTACTTCAGAATCTGAATACTCCTTTGAAACTAAACTCATAACAGCAGCAGAAGAATCTCTGAACAGAAACGTAGCAAGTAGAAAATTGCAACGATCTTCGGCTAGTGCTCCTATACCTACCAACATAACTAAACCCAAGCCATTTAGCTTTGCTTCAGTTGACGGTGTTATACCAAGAATTGAATACAATTGTGAGAGTCTTATAGTCCCAGATTTAACTCAGAGCATAGCAGCAACAGCACAAAAAGTTCCTACGCAGAAGACATTAAGCACTGCTTTAAGTCTTCAATCTCCTACTGCTGCCTCAAAACCAAAACCAGTCACTGCTCTAACATTTGATATTGGCAATGGCACAACTGCCAATTATACTACAGACTTGAACTTGAATGCCGCACAGAAATATTTCGCAGAAAGTGGAATATTGGGACCAATTCCTGCTAGCGATGTCCAGACCAGAAAAACTTCAAAAGTACTGAAGGAAACTAGCGATGTCATAGAACAAGTAAGTTATTTAATATTTTTTAATTACTTTATTTCATTTCATTTTTATGTTCAACTGATCCAATAAAAGGTTAGATAAAAAGTGCTAGGTATTCTATAATAAAATAAACACACATTATATATACCTATATAGCTTAAAAATGGGAAAATGGCAAATATTGACTAAACGATTCAATGTGTTTAACTAAAAGTACTGTAAATATGTTTATAAAATTTAATTACTAAAATATCTTACATATTTCAATGTAATAAATAATATATTTTTATATAAATAAATAAAGATTACATTATCTCATACCTCCAGCTCAAAAATTACCCGGATTTTGTAAATAAAACACACAAATTTAAATTTTATTCCAAATTTATTTTATCTCCTTCAAAATATGCTCCTTCTGAAGCGATACACATATGCCAACCCTTAACCCAATCTTCCATACACTGTTTGTAGCCCGTGCAGTTATGGCTTTTAGCTCCTTCGGCGAATTCTCTTTAACCAATTCAATCGACTCAAAACGCTTACAACGAAGGAGCAATTTGAGTTTCGGGGACAAGAAAAAGTCGCACGGCGCCAGATCTGGCGAATATAGTGCCTGAGCGATGACAGTGGTGCCGTGTTTGAGTGTTTCGTCAAAAAATCGCGTACAACAAGAATTTTTCATCGCTAAATGCACTTGAGGTAGTCTCATTTTAATAGCTGCTATAAACAAACTAATTGACAGATGGCGCCATATGTCAAGAAAGGGTGTACCAACATAACAAAAAAAAAATTTTGAAAACGGTCCATTACTTAAGGAGTAGTTAACAAACAACAAAATCCGGATACTTTTTGAGCAGAAGGTATTATCTCTATTTACTGTAATATTTCCTAAATACATTGAAGTTTTCAAAATAGGTATATCCATTTATCCATTTGTCATACCCGAAAATAGTATATTATATTCTATGTATAATTTTAATACATTTCTCTCATTTAATAAATGGAATATATATCATAATATATAGAATATATATTAGATATATTATGTACTTTCTGGAAGATCGCTAAGATAAAAGATTTGTTATTTTTTCTGAAGACAAAACTTCATTATGATAGTTATATTTTTAATTGGTATTAATATTTGTATGAAGCAATTGTATACTAGGCATTAAACACATTTTTTTAATAAACATTAAAGATGTTAAGAGCAGCTTAAAGTTCCGGTATCAATAGAACCTTCCAACTAGACTGTGGATGCAAAATATTTTTTTTCAAAACCATTCAATGGTTTTCTGAATTTAATTAAATAAATTAATTTTTTAAGGATTAACCATTGAATCAAATCGTATTGAAATGGACAATATTAAGATTCGTCAATGATTGGATTTACTATCAATAATAATTATAACTTTTATTATATTTTCAGCATTTTTTTGCTGAAAGTTATTTTTAAATAACTTCGTATTATTGCAATTACGATATAATTCGCAATCCATTTATAACATAACCTTAAAGTCAATTATCAATAAAAAATAACATTTTTTTGTTATGAACCTATTTTTTAGCCCAAGTATTATATAAATTAATTTTTAAACTTGCAGTTCAGTTTTTATTTAATTCACATAGAGACCGATATGTCGAGTTACTTGTTTTAATATACATATATATTATAAATGATCATACCCCTACACCCTGAATTTTATTTTGCGGCTATATGTTAACACTTTGATAAACTATCCATTGTCTATCCCTTAAATGGACTACCCAGACATATATTGTCATATAAAACTGAAAAACTTAAAACTTTTTGAAATTTCACTCAATCTAAACATCATTTTAAAAAATGTCTAGAATAGGGTTTCTCAAACTAATATAGAACGCTTCGCTCATCTTACTAATACCCGCGGGAAAAGTTATTAGATGAAATATTTAGTTTTCTGGCATGATTTTATGATTAATCATAAATCAGTAAAATCAGTATATGACTAATATCTCTACGTGATATCTCAATAACATCGATACATTTTTCTTTACTTATATACAGATGTCTGCTTTTCGTTTATACGTTCCATCTGGTATTGAACTGTTTTAATACCGCTTTACGTTGGTGACACATTCACTTTCCAATTCCAATCTCTAAGATCGAGAGCTCATAAAAGAGAAATGCGTCAACATTTTGTTCAGAACCATATGGTTGCCAAAAACCGTTTTAGAAGTTATTTCAATGGAACTTATATACATAAAAGCACCTTGACTATTCAATGATATAAATATATTCCCAAAAGTAATGTCCACTTCAAAGAAAACTATAGATTCATTAAAAGCAAAAATTTTCACAACAATTGGGAAGTCTACGAAACTTGCATGTATCTAGTTTTTCACACAAAACTCCAGCACCTATTTCTTTATGGAAACTATCTTGATGAGAATTTAGTAATAAATTTTTTGTTGAACTTGAAAATGTCGGAGATACTTTTAATCAGTTTTTTTTTTGAAAAAAATATTGAATAAACTTAAAGTAGTGCCTTGAAATGTTAGGGAATCACAACGCTGAACAGTATATTCGATTCAAAGGTCTGGATCAAGCTATTCGGAGATATTCGAACAATTCAAAATGAAAGACTCTTCATTCAATATTGGTGTTTGAACATATAAACAAACAGGAGTTACTTCTAAACTGGTGACAATAGAATAAATGCTCCGCTTATACTGTAGCATTAGTTTTAATAATATACGTATATATAAAACGAAGATAGTTTTATTAGCACTCTGGCTATCCACCGCGATGTTGATTTTCCCGTCATTAAATTTAAAACTTTCTGTAAAATAACAGGCTTTCCAGATCACGAACTCTTTTGTTAAATGCTAATGTAGAAATGCATAGAAGGTTGAGGTCAAGAATGTTAAAACAATAAACTCTATTTCTTTCTATATCGGACTTTTTTTAAAGTTTATGTCCACAAATTTCTATCTTATCCTGTATTGAAAATCGGCCTATTTTACAATCTTCTCATGTCATTACATGTTCTTATTAAATTCTAAACGAGGCACTTATACTCTAATTCTATATTCATACCCAATATGTGTTTTTTTGTATAAATAATTATAATAGATATTAAGTATAATGTTTTAATATTTCATATAGTATATTTAGTTTAATTTATTTAATTCTTAATATTAACACACGAAATAGTAATTTCCACTTAGTTTAAGTAAAATAGCTTAATTTAATCATATTCTTTTAATGACAGCAATTAAAAGTATTTATCTAATGAATGAGGAATAAATTTCAGATATCTTATCGTAGTCATTGTAAATGTAATACATTATCTAGGAGCAAAATGTAAAACAAAAACATATTAGATACAAGATATTAATAAATGCCAGTTCACATTTAGTTAAATTCATGAAAAATTGTTTGTTAACCACTTCACTCAATACTCTAATATTTTTTATTAAATTAATTCATTTATTTAAACACCGAATATAAGTTCTATAGTTTTAATAGAGTTCTAAAATATTGAACAACAATATTTTTTACTTTAACTAAAATTAATATTCAGAAAGTACAAGTGGTAAACAGTCTAAAACTTAATAAACTGATTGTTCTATATTGTAATCCTCAATTTCTCAAACTAACTAAGAAACTTTAAGATTTATCGAGTAAAGTTTATAAGTATTTAACCCTGTATTCAATTTCAAATAACTATTTATTCAGATGTTTTTAAAATTGTTGAAGCAGCAAAATTTTAATTACATGAGACTAGCAATTTATTTATAATTCTTAAAAGTATTAATTTATACCACAATTCGCTCTCCCTCTACCTTATTCAATACATCCGAAAAAAAGACATTTTAAACTTTATAAATAAACATATGGAAGACGAATAGACTATGGAATGGTCAGTGTACAACCACCACTACAAGTCGCTCAATACCAGTGGATTAAAAGCAATATACACACAATCATCGTCAACACCTTTTGAGTGGCGATCAGTCATCAAACTATCAATTTTCTAATAGCACACCATTCATAGATCATATACTTAACGATTGCCCTTCTTTTAATTCCATTCGTAGTAATATCTTTCCAAACATCTTACCCACCAACCTATTAAAAGCAAATACTGTTAAAGACATACTTTTGATATATAAATACCTATGTTAATGTCTGTATTCTAGGCAATAAAATTTAATTTCTTATATCCGAGCTTAAGGCCCTGACAGCTAGCGCTCGTTTTTCCTATCTTAGTTATAAGATTTTATATTTTATGATTAATTATAATAAGTAAATAAAAAAATAATTAATTAAAAAAAAATTTGGAAATGTAAATCTTTATTTATAAAGATTTTATTAGTGACATTTAGATCTTTATTGGTAAAAAGAGTCTAACTTTGCTTAACTTTAAAAAGTATTTCTATTATATATGTATGTTGTTCTAATAGCTGTTGAAATATAATTATTTCCATGATATAGTATTATATAAAATCATTTATGCCGTCACGTTTTAATGCGTAATGCTAATGTATTGAATAAAATTGGGTTTTGTCTTATCGGTTACTTACTTGATCATTACACGTTTACCCAACAACGCCAAGTTATCTCGATCAACGGTTTGTTCATATCAATTGGTAATACCGAGTGCCTGCACATCCTTTGTCGCCGAGTTCTTCCATCGAACATATGGACGTCCTCTACCACGTTTCGTAGCAGCGCTTATTGCATCAAATGTCGTTCTAATCAAAGCAATTTCATTTATTCACTGTTCATGACCTACAAAAAGATATACATCAATTAGTCTTTATTTAAACTTCACCAAAGTCTGAAACCACAATTACAAGGTTTCAGTTTTCACACAGTACGTTTGACAAACCGTCACTGTTGTGCAAGTCCCAATTTTGCCTGAGCAAATCGTTAGTTAACATTAGCATGGGTTTCTCTGTATTACGTTCCTGGATTAGATTCTATATACAAGAATAAATAATATAGTAAAATCATGTCATAAATAATGTCTCCATAAAAGAGTAGTATAGAAATTTAAAAATTATATGTAACTTTAACTATCTATTCAATCATCCTACCGCTAATAATTTCGATCTAATATAATACAGCAAGTGATTTCATTAATGCACTTTCACAGCAAATGAACAAAACTTCAAGTTCGAACACTTAAGTCATGTACGGCTTTGGGTCAGTTTGCTAATGAACACTAGCTCTGAGCTTCAAAATTGCTAGGGTAAGAGTACAACCCTTGTTAAATGCAGATTCAAAAAATTTTTACCAATAATTAAATTATAGAAATTCCCAAAAGACCACTTATAAAGGGTAATACTCGAAACTCAATTAGTTAAAAATAATAAAATTTTGCTGTTGTTATTTACATCTCTTCGAATCCACTCTAAATCTTCACAGGTAATGTTTTGAAAACGTTCGGTCGATAATTAATGTAGTTAGTGACATCGCTCTAATCGTTGGGTTTGCATACATCCCAAGATACTTCGCAAATAGGTACATCATACGTTTAATTCCTCAAACACTTAACCATCGGCAACTGTAGTCTTAATCATTTTAATATTTTAATTATCGAAAGGCCAGACGATTATCATTTAGTCATATCAGTCAAATAATTTTGTAGAAATGAGAAGTTATGCGTCTTAGTTTTGCAACGTCCAATTTCAGATCTGGTTTTTAGATCTGTAGATAGCTGTAGTACCTTTTGCTATATGTCGAAGTGTTGCATTCTATTAATATTAACCACGATCCATATTTCAACTTTTATATAATAATAAATTATTTTGCTTCTAGAACTTTTAAATCTTTCATTAATATTGTACTGATAAAAAATCTATTTTAATTACGGAATCATGCAATTTAAATTTAATTAAAAGTTTCTGAATATTTTGTTTCAAACTTCATTAAATATTTAATAAATTTTTTTAATTACATATCCGAAAGTATTAAAAAATATTTTGTCATAAACTTTTAATTAGAAAATCGGTTGCCATTATTATATATATTCATGTCACTATTTCAGTCAGTCACAAAACAGATATACCACTGAGAAGACGGAAAATTACCGTATTACGTTAGGTAACTCAAATAACTCAAAACAATTTAATATTTTTCTTTATTCACAATAAAAATAATATAATCTACTAATATAATGATATAGTAATATATAATCTACTAATATCATTTTTTTTTTGTCTTCCTATAGATCAAATCATCGTTGAGTACATTAGGTTTACGTGGAAATAATAATAATCAAAATATAAACAATACTACAAACAGCAGACGTAAACTCTCCTTGTTGGATCCTCTACCAACGAGACAAACCACACCGCCACTAAAAAATTATCAAGAAGCACCTCTCAGTAATGTCAGTATGGCTACCTCAACTCCAATGACACTTTTTGTTCCAGTTGCAACAACAATGACGTCCTCAACAGCTCTGGATGATACAGTTACGGAGAGTGTGAGCAAGGATTTACATCTGAATTTAAACAAAAATGAGAGCAGCTTAGGTAATGATAGTATTGCAAATGCCAATGCCATGATAGAGGTTTTGGAGGAAAATATTATGGCTCTGAAAGAAGTTATAAAACGTAAGGATGCCGAAATGGTGGAATTACGAAGAGAAATTCATAAACTTAAGGTGAGTTCATGATAATTTGATATAATATACCCATTAAATTAGTTCGATATTGTCAGATTTGATTTATTCGTTATTGATGGGCAGAAATAATATTGTGCAAATTAGAATTTTGATAACTATATATGGAGCGTTAATCGTACACCCGAAAAATTGCTTCCACAACGAAACCAGAACATCCAAAAAAGTAGTATATTTTTTACTATCACAGTTCATCTACTTTCTTGCAAATGAAAATCTGAAACATTATATATTTAAAATACCTGTGATATTTGATCACATTTAAGGGGCCCATATCTCCTAGACCTATATTAAAGAGTACATTCTAATTATAATAATAAAAAATTTATAAGGACCAAAAGAACTTAAAGTAAGTTTTTTTTGTTAATACAAATGAATTTGTAAAAACCATTCGAGTCAAGAATATTTCGATTTATCCAGTTTTCGAATTATAAACGCTTTCGAAAAAAGATTCGAATTAGAAATTTTATTTTTTTTTTTTTCAATTTATCTAATGTAAGGGCCTTGTAGGCATCAGCAAACCTGCAGTTCGTGTACTTACTGGAGTATTAGCGGGACACTGTGCCATTGCACTTATGCTCCAACGGTGGCGAGTCCAACAAGTGAATTATGCAGGAGTTGCCTAGATGAAGAGGAAGTAGAATTTATCAACCACTTTCTATATCTCTGTTCAGGACTGCAGACAAGACGACTTCAATGTCTTATCGGATCTCCTCAACTTCATCTGGAAAACCGAATGGTTTTACAAAGATAACAAAGATTAGCAACTCATCTCTCCTCGCAAAATTTTTGAGGGCATCACAATGGGCAATATAAGCCTCCGAGTGGACGTGCTGACTACTGTCCACCTAACCTAACCTATCTAATGGAAAATAAAAATAAATATTAATTTATTTTTATATTTTTTAACATTTATTTCATAAGGAATACTAAAATTGATGCGAGTAATGAAAAGTTTATAATTCGAAGTGTAGTAAGGAGTAGGCGCATTCAAGCAGTGAAGGGAACGAAGAATTATCACAAGATTTTGTTTTCTCCAGAACTTAAAACTAACATATATAAAGTATATTTTGTTTGAAATGACTTTTTATTTTAAATAGTTTTTATTATAATCAAGACTAATTTAAAAAAAAAAAACATACTGAATTATTTATTTTTCACTCCTTTGCAGCAGAAGCAAAACTTATTATCAAAACAAAACAAAGCAAAAGATTTACAATTTGTATCTCTGGTATCAATTGTATCTAAACACGCGCATAAAGATGTATCTAAGTTTAAGCATATTTTTTATTTATTTATTTATTTGTTTGTTTGTTTGTTTGTTTTTATGTATGTGTAATAATAACAATTTGCTTTGATGTGATCATTGAAATAGCAAACTTTTTAAAGTTTGTCTACTTAATAGCACAGCAATTTTGCTGTCTGTTTCCACATTTACACATACTCGTATGTATGCACATATAAATTTATTTACATTTAAATAGCAACATTTTATTTAATTATTCTATTAACACTTTTTGCCACTCGCAAGCGAAAAAAGATACTTTACACAATGCCATTAGCTACAGATACATTTTTTTATATCTAAACACACAGCAAAGTGTAAATATGCCCTGCAGAGAGCATATGTCGTGATACAATTAAATTTTGTATATATTATTTTTATTATTTTTTTTTTTTACTTATAATTAAATTTAATTGAAACGATAAAATTCAATCAGTACAAATGCAGAAAATTTAAATATTATATTAAATATATACGAACTATTGACATAACAATACCTCTATGTACATATGTATATATATTGCAATACTCTTTATTTAATAACACAAACATATACCATATATAGTTTTCATTGGCATTACTTTAGAATCCTTAAATAAATCAAATAATAAGTTAATAAATATAAAAACTGTGGAAAACTCTTAAAGCTGGTTGTAGTAAGTCAAGCCGTCTGTTCATAATAGACAAGAACTCACTCAAGTAGACTCAACTCAAGTCTCTAGTGGATATTGGTGCAGATTTCTCAGTTTTATAAATAACAGCAATTCCTTATCCTAAGCCCAAGCCCACCAGAAGTACACTGCTCGCAGTAAATGAATCCCACATTAAAACATACGGCTGTAAACTTCTAACACTGAACTTGGGTCTGTGGAAAAATTTCGCCTGTTATTTCACCATCGCAGATGTATCAAAGTCAATACTAGGTGCCGACTTCCTTAAAAATTTTAACTTATTGGTTGACCTTGCTAACAAGCGAATTATTGATAACCGAACGAAGTTGCAGACGTTGTGAATTGCCGAAATTAGGCAACCGTATTGTAGATATTACCTTCTTATGGGCTCAGTTCATCAGTCAGGAGCTCATCAGTTCAGTCAGTTCAGTTCAGTCTGAGCTCATAAGGGGGTAATATCTACAATACGGTTAAGATATTGTGATTTCATCTATATAGGTTGCTATAACTTCATCTATATTACATTGTTAACTAAAAATTATAAATTTTAAATTATAAATAAAGAGAATAGTCGACAACGCGACACACTCTTTGCAACAGTTATGGTAGTTAGTTTTTATCCAGCATTCCTAAATGCAAAAATATTAAACTGTATATTCAGATTAATAAATTCAGATTAATAATCGTTCTAAATAATTAGATATTTGACAAAAAAACACAAAAAAGTGCTACATTACATCATTTTTTGTAGCAAATATAATATCGATTTTAAATCATCCACAATAAAATTTATTGCTTTGTTTGGCATTATCAATTTTAAACAGCATTATCTACATACATTTGTATATCCCGAATTAGTAGTCTAATAATAATTTAGGTTACTACTCTATTAGCACTTAGTCTTTGACAACTTGACAATTCTAATAAGTATTCTGAAATGTAACAAAACTGCTTGATAGTTCTTTGTATGAACTAGTCGTAGTCAAATGAAACATGTATTTATATTATTGTACATATTGTGTTTCAAATAATAAAAAAAAAAAAAAAAATTATCTACATACATATATCAATGCAGTATTGTCAAGTAAATTCCACATTGTTGTAAACTAATATACAATAGAATATATCTTTCTGAGAGTAATAATGTAGTATATATACTAAATAAAGTTTCAAAAAAATCCAAAATAAAAAGCACGAGTATGTTACACGACGATCCGAACCGAGAAAATAACAGTTTCTAAGGAAGCAGCAAGTATCATTGTATCATTGTATAGAAACCTATTCAGTTTCACCAATCGTTGATTGTACCGAGTAGCTATATGTGGAAGATATCGAAGACTACGGCCTACCTGTAGAATGGAAAATAAAAACAAGTACCACAATCTAATAATTATTCTTATATATAGTTGAAAATAACCCATCAACTATATGCAGTTGAATAGCGATAAATCGAAACCCTCAATAATTCGTTACAAACTGCTCATTCCTTTGAAAAAAAAATTCGTGCATTCGTAAAATTTCCACATATTTCGGTCCTCTCGTTAATTCGTATATTATTTGAAATTAATTGAACACTAAACCTCTTATAATTCGTAATACAGAACAAAAAACCTGTCTGCAAATTCAATGTCTTTCAAGAACCTTCACAACTTTCCAATATATTACCGACACAATAAAAAGGCGTGGATGACATTGGACCTATTTAAAGAATGACTTCAGATGCTGAATTATAGCATGAAAACTCAAAATCGAAAGATACTGTTATTTATGGACAATTGTACAACGCCTAATAGGTCCCCTAAACTAAGTCACGTCAAAATATTGTTTCTGTTGTCTATATTGCTCTACAACATTATTAAAAACCAGGTCGAGAAACAAATTCAAAATTTAAAATTATTTTTATATACGATTAAAACTTAAATTTATATACTCGATATTCAAATTTAAAAATTAATATATATATATCTATGCGGAAGTAGAATATGATTAACTTTAAACTTTAAATCTTTTTACAACACTTATTTTGGTCAACTCATAGACGGATTAATGTATAATATATATATAATTAATAATGGTAGTGTATTACCGTTATTAATTATATAAATTAATTACGGTTATAAATTAGTACAAACTAATTTTGAATGATTCGAAGAGTGAAACAAAACAACAACAACAGGTGACTTCATTGTATCATTGATAAAAAATAATTTCTGGAATTTCGTTGCTAGAAGCACTCTAGCAAGACTCTAAATCCTTAAGATCAAATTTTCTATTGTTTTTTTTTTGAATCATTTGAAGCAGTGCTGCGCAAATAGTGAGCTCAATGTTGGTTCCGAGGTTGAAATCAATAGGGGCTTGTGCGCATAGATCAAAGATTGTTAGTACTCTATAGCATTGGGCCCAATCCCAGATCACACATTCATGCCTTCATAAATTTATACAAATTTAATTTATGATTCATTATACCCGTATATACAATATAATAATGTTTTATCAATTGAGGTTAATTATTCATTACATCCTATTAAAATAGTTTGACTGTACATTATTCAGAGGGTAAGCACCTATTAGCAAACAACAAATTTGTGACTAATATTCCACTACGAGTATTAATGCTTTGAATATCTAAAAGGCAATACGATAGAAAAGACAATATGTGTTTTAATGTTTATCTAACTAATTATTAGCATAATTATTTTAAATATATGTTAGTCACTTTTTACTTTGCACTTCACTTGTTAAGTACTATACAGCGTTAAATATAAATTAGGCTAAGCATATAAAATTTTATCACTGAAAACGCCTTGACAATAAAAAGAAATAATTAAGTGATTTTTTTTTATTTGCCACTTAGTAACTTAATAGTAAAAAGAAGATAAATGACATTGAGCATTATTTACTTTAAATAATAAAAAAATATTATTCAGCATGAGTCCAGTTTCTGCAAGATAGATTTTTTTTTTTTTTTTTTTTTGTGAAATATCTGGCAATCATATGCAATTATCGATCAACAATCGTTAGCTCTA